GGATCGCCAGAGCCCAGCAAGTCGAGGCTGCGGTGGCCGAGAGCAGCCACTGCAATCCAGTTTGGGTGACAGAGTGAGACTCCAACTCAAAAAAAAAGAAAACTACACCCCACTGGAGCTGCTTACAAGGGCTATGGCAATGACATTGCACAAATTAATGTTTGCAGCTGGGATGGAATCAGAAGTTCAAATGGGGGGAGGCTGGGTCCAGTGGCTCACATCTGTAATCCCAGCACTCTGGGAGGTAGAGGTGAGAGAATTGCCTGAGCTCAGGGGTTTGAGAACAGCCTGAGCAGCTTGGCAAGCCCTCATCTCTACAATAAATCAAAAAATTAGCCAGGCGTGGTGATGTATGCCTGTGATTCTACCTACTTGGAAGCCTGAAGCAGAAGGATCACCTGAGCCCAGAAGGTTGAGGCTATGGTGGCCATGAGTGTGCCACTACACTCCAGCCTGGATGACACAGTACACTCTGTCTCAAAAAAAAGAAAGAAAAAAGAAAGGAAAAAAAAAAATCCTAGGGCCTAGGCTAAGGGCAAGAGAAAAAAACAGACAACTAGAGAACTAACAGCCCACTGGAGCTGTTTATGAGGGCCATGGCAATGACATTATACAAATTAACATTTGCAGCTGGGATGGAATCAGAAGTTCAAACAGGGGGGAGGGGTGGCTCACAACTGTAATCCTAGCACTTTAGGAAGCTGAGGTGGGAAGATGGCTAAGCCAAGAAGTTCAAGAACACCCTGGGCGACATAGTGAGGCCTCATCTCTACAAAAAAATTTTAAAATTTTGAAAAATAAGTTCAAATATGGCATACTACAATTACTTTTTTATAATAAAGAAAATAGTTTATTTTAAAAGTAGATTAAAGGGGGGGGGTAAATGCACTTCTCCAGGGAGAGAAGGGGGCCAGGAATCTCCAAACTAACATTTTAACAGATTGGTAATGTATAAGAAGTGTGATTACCAGTGCCCACTATAAGAATATTTAATAAATAAGCATGTACTCTCTCAGTAAATGGAACAGAGTTTACAAAAGAATTCATCTGAAGAGAATTCAGTCAGTCACCACAACACAGGCACGGTAGTCAATAATAATAATAGTAACAGCAACAGTAATGAAGACTAACTCTCACTGAGAGCTTCCCCCACAATAGTCTTATTCTGTCGGCCCCGTAATTGTCATTATAGAAGTGAAATGGTTATTGGACATTTAACATTAAATCATTACAACCACCATCAAGTAGATATTATCTCCAATTTACAGACAAATAACCCATAGCTTTGGTAAAATAGGGACTGTGGGAATAGCACCACTGGGATTGGAACCCAGGTGTTTCTGACTACGCAGGCGGTCTCCACAACTTTGTTAAGCAAGGGGCAAACAGGAAGTGTCCTTTGGAGAAGCCCTCCCCGACTCAAAGTAACTTGTCTGGCCCCAGAGGCAGCACTGTGCCCCTTATGAAAATAAGTCGTTTTTCTGGGTGGGTACAGTAACCTTCATCAAAAGGTTAGTCGGGCTTGGTGCTGCGCACCTACAGGTCCAACTACTCAGGAGACTGAGGCATAAGGATCACCTGAGCCCAGGTGGTTGTGGCTACAGTGAGCCATGATCATGCCACTGCACTCCAGCCTGGGCAATAGAGTGAGACTGACTCAAAAAGAGATTAGATAGATAGATAGATAGATACATACATACATACATACATACATAGACAGACACGACTGAAAGCCCTGGGTGTGCTGTTACAATAGTCTTATTCTGTTGGCCTCATAACTGTCATTATAAAAGTGAAATGGTATTCAATGAAGCAGAAAAAGTAAAGGCTTTCCCCCAATTTATATTTGAACAGTAGCAAAGCGTAATCACATCTGCAAGTTCTGAAAATTCTAGGTGTGCTTGGTGGAGAACAGAACAAGAAACCAACCTGTTGATATTTCTGGGTGTGAATCACGCACAAGCTGTATGTACAAACTAGACACAGGTGTTTTACCACTCAGATTATTTCTGAAGTCATTTGGTAAGATTAGGCCCGTCGCCTGAGCCATCTGTTCACATGATACAGAGATTCTGAAGCTTTCCAAGGAAATATTTGCTATGCAAACTTTCTTACCATGACTATTCTTCAGTTGGAGATGGTAGGATAGTCCCTCCAGGGGCAAAACACTTCCTAGGAACCATGCCTGTTTCCTCTTGAAGCACTCTGTGCTCGTCTGCTAAAAATCAGGCTCATAATACACACACCTATATGAAGTAGCCTGTTCCTTGAGAATGGTAACTTCTAACAAGGGATGGGGACTTCTCTGGACTCAACAGAAGGAAAGTAATGTGGCTGGGCATGGTGGTGTACACCTGTAATCCCAGCACTTTGGGAAGCCAAGGCAGGAAGATCACTTGAGCCCAGGAGTTCGAGACCAACCTGGGCAAAATCAAGACCTCATTTCTACAAAACATCAAAAAATTAGCCAGGTGTGTTGGCACACACCTGTAATCCCAGCTACTCAGGAGGCTGAGGCAGAAGGATTACCTGAGCCCAGGAGGTTGAGGCTGCAGTAAGCCATGACCGTGCCACTGGACTCCAACCTGGGTGACAGAATGAAGCCCTGGCTCAAAAAAAAAAAAAAAAAAAGAGGAAAGCAACGCTTGTGGGTTCAGTTCACCCTGTATTTACTGAGCACATTCCATACCTGGTACAAAAATAAATAAAGCCTATTTCCTCAAGAAGCTGATTCTCTAAGGGTTGTAATGCAGAGTATATGGACCAGGGCACACAAGGAAGAAATTTACAGGAAAAAGAAACCAAAGTAGGAAAAAAGAGAAGAAGAGTGAAGCAAGCCAGCAAAAAAAAAAAAAAAAAAAGCTAGAATAAGCTGGGGGTGGTGGCACATGCCTATAATCCCATGTACCCAGGAAACTGAGGCAGGACTGCTTAAGACCAGGAGATCAAGACCAGCCTGGGTAACGTAGTAAGACCCCCAACTAAAAAGACAAAAAAGCTGGGAGTTGTGGCACATGTCTGTAATCCCAGCTAACTGGGAGCCTGAGGTGGGAGGACTGCCTGAGCCCAGGAGTTAAGGCTGCAGTGACCCATGATCCCGCCTCTGCCCTCTAGCCTTAGGGACAGAAGGGAGACCCTGTCTTGAAAACAAAGAAAGAAAAAAACAAATCACAAGAAAGCAGGACTGGCCCCCAAGGCCCACTATGCTGGCTTATTTCTTCTTGGGCTGTTGCACCTCAGTTTCCCCCAAGGCCCCCACCCCTCTCTTCCACCATGAGGGCTCGCCATGTCCCCTTTTCCTCCCCTGGACAGTCTTAGACCCACTCTTGGCTCTGATTAACTCACTCAGGTTGATAATTCCATCTCCTCCTTCCAGCCTTGAGCCATCTGCTCAACACATGCAGCTGGCGCCAAGCCCAGCTAGTCCAGAGCCTAAGGCTCCCCATGCCCCTCCTTGCCCTGTGGCTCTGCTCTCCCTTCCACATTTCCTGTTTCACCATCACTGAAACCCTCAGTCTCATGCAGCGCCCATGCGAGCCCCAGCCAGCACTTGGGAGGTAAGTCCTGGACATCGCCAGGCTCCGACCACTGTCTCCATCCACTTACCTCCAGGTGGCCCTCCATACCTGACTGCTCCTCTCCAGGCATTCTCCAGCACTACCACACCTGTTTAAGCCCTTTAGTAATGTCCCCATGACCCTCAGGATAAGTCCATTTCCTTTAACAAAAGCCCTGTTGACCAGGCACAGTGGCTCATGTCTGTAATCCCAGCACTTTGAGAGGCCAAGGTGGAAGGACTGCTTGAGCCCAAGAGTTCAAGACCAATCTGAGGAACACAGCAAGACCTCATTTCTACAAAAAATAAAAATAAAAATTAGCTGGGCGTGGTGGCACGTGCCTGTGCTCTCAGCTACTTGGGAGGTTGAGGCAGAAGGATCGCCTGAACCCAGGAGTGTCAAGGCTGTGGTGAACTGTGATCATGCCATTGCACTCCAGCCGGGGCAACCAAGTGAGATCCCAACTAAAAAAAAAAAAAAAAAAAAAACCCCGCCTCACATGGTCCCTACTCACAGCCTTTCCTGCCTGTGCCTTAGGCTTCAAGCCAACCAGCTACCCCATGGCATTGGCCCCACACAGCTCCCTGTGTTGGCACACTTCTCCAGCCTCTGACAGACATCCCCTGCCCCAGGAAGATTGCCCTTCGCTGCCCCTCCCCCATGACACACCCTCCCCACGCATTCCCTCAGGGTGCGCTTCTAGGATGAAGGACTCAGCACAACAGGTCTTCAAAATCCAACGACCAAGCGATGGGTGGCCACCAAGGGCAAAGTTCATCCAGTCCTGACCTTTTCCGTAGAATAACCAGTTTCTCTCACTTTCTCTTACCCCAGAACAAGGTACCCAAAGGGCAGCCCTTTCTTCACGGGCCTTTTAGCATTTTAGCTTTAAGATATTAAAAGCCAGGCGGGGTGGCTCACGCCAGTAATCTCAGCACTTTAGGAGGCTGAGGAGGGAGGATCACTTGAGCCCAGGAGTTCAAGGGCTCAAGCATGGTTGCACCACTGTACCCCAGCCTGAAAAACAGAGGGAAACCCTGACTCAAAAAATAAAAAAAAAGAAGGGAAGGAAAAAAGGAGGGAGGGAAAGAAGAAAGGGAAGAGAGAGAGGGAAGGAAGGGAAGGAAGGAGAAGGAGGGAAGGAGAGGGAGAGAAAAAAAGAAAGGAGAGAGGGAGGGAAGGAGAAAGGAAGGGGAGATAAAAAATGAAGTGAGGGAAGGAGAAGAGAAGAGAACTTGGCCAACCTCAGGGGTCCCCACACTGGAACCCTGGACTACATGGGCTCATCATGGGCTAAGCACAGGCGCGGCCCTGCTGGCTCTCCCGGGCACCCCAAGCCCTGTTCGGCCTGCCTGGGACATCACAGCCAGGGACAGGATCCGGGTGGCGCTGACCCGGACCCCCAGCCAGCGCGCCGGGGAGGCTGGCGTCTCCGGGCCTCACCTCGCGCAGCTCCAGCCTCTGGGCCACCGCCTCCAGGCTCTCCTGGCCAGTGCTCTCCACCGACAGCGTGAACTCCACGAACTCGCCGTTGAGCAGCTGGATCCGGGCCACCAGGCAGCTCTTGCTGGACACCGTGTAGCGCCGCGTGCGTTTCAGCTTCAGCCCGAAGGGCAGCGGCATCTTCCCCCCTCTAGAGCGGAGGGGCCCGGAGGGGACAGCACCCCCTCCCGGGGACGCCGGGACGAGGCGACGCTTTCTGGACGGGACGGACGCGCTCTGCTCTCCGGATGCTCATCCAGCAGCCGCCGCCGCCGTTAAGATGCAACCGCGTCTCCAAAGGCCCGCGGGAGGGAGCGTCCACGCCGGCGCTGCGGAGAGAGGCGCGAGGTTACACGGGCAAGGGCCGGGATCCGCTTTCAAGGGGAAGATCCTCTGGCCGGGCGTGGCCCAGCACGCCTATAGTCCCAGCGCCTGGGAGGCCGAGGCGGGAGGCTCGCTAGCGGCTGGGAGTTCGAGGCCAGACGGGGCAACATAGCCAGACCCTCTCTCTACTACTACTACTAATAATAATAATAACAACAGAACACCCAGTAAAGTTGCCCCCAAAGAATAAGCTTTCCCTCTAGACTGGTAAAGAGGACACTAACAAGCCCCGGGAAGCAGGGCGGAAATGTATCAGCAGAGCCTGTAAATGTATCGATTTATCCTACAAATAGTGATAACCTGTGGCTTCGGCAGGATTAAATGAGATAACGGCCGCGCTACCACAACTCCCAGTTCCGTAATTAGCGTGACTCCCTCTCCCTGTCTCTCTTTTAATATTCGAGACAAAATAGGCCGGGCGTAGTAGCACGCGCCTGTAGTTCCAGCTACTTGGAAGGCCGAGGCGAAAGGATCGCCTAAGCCCAGCAGGTCGAGGCTGCAGTGACCGGGAGCACTCCAGCCTGGGCGACAGAGTGAGACTCCGACTCGAAAAAAAACAAATCGAGAAAAAGTCTCGCCCAGGCTGGAGTGCAGTGGCCCGATCACGGCTCACCGCAGCCTCGACCTCCTGGGTTCAGGCGATCCTCCCGCTCGACCTCCCGAGTAGCTGGGACTGTAGGCCTGCGCCACCACGCCCGGCTTATTTTGCTTTTCTCTTTAATCGCAGACGCATGGTCTCGTTATGTTGCCCTGGCTGCTCTCGAACTCCTGGGCTCAAGCGATCCTCCCATCTCGGCCTCCCGAAGTGCCGGGACTCCAGGCGTTGAGGCCACCACGCCCGGCCCCAAAGTGTTGGAATTTAATCCGTAAATGAGATAAGCGCAAAACATCCTCCAAAGGAAACAGGTTCCAGTCCCATCAGACGAATCAGCCCTGCAGGCGAAGGGGAGGATTAACCTCCAACGGGAGGCAGCCGCGAGGTTCCGAGCAGGGGGCGCGCGGATCCAGCCTGCGCGGGGCCCTTGGTGCGTTGCCGGTGCTTAAGTCATCGGGTTGATTGACTTACAAACCTCACCACGGGCCCTACAAATGCTCGTTCTCGGGACACCGCCCGCACCGGGGCAGCTCTGCAGAGCGTGGCCCTGGCTGCTCTTCAGGGTGGGGCCCGAGCCCAGAAGGGCGGGCGGGCGCGGCCTCCAACGCCATCCTGAGCTAAGGGGGTTCGGCCAACCCGCTAGGCCAGCGGGCGCCGGCGAAATCGGGCTCGCTCCCCCACGCGTCCGGCACCCGGGAAGAGCCGGCGGCGTTGCCATGTCAACGGGGCGCCCCGCGGGCCCCGGAACCTTGAGCCCGCGGCCGCGTTGCCGGACGGAAGCGCTAGGAAGCGGACCGGCCCCTCCGCTCCCGCAGGGAACATTTAAAGGAGCCCGCTAGGCGGGGAGGCCGGGCGGGCTCTAGCGACGCTCCCCCCCCATACGCTACTTACAGCGTGTCTTTTGTTTTTAGAGACAGGGCCTCGCTCGGTCCCCCAGGCTGGAGGGCAGAGGCGCGATCACGGCGCAACGCTGCCTCGACCTGCTGGACTCCGGCGATCCTCCCGCCTCGACCTCCCGGGTAGCTGGGACCTCAGGAGCCTCCGCGCCCGGCTCTAACGTACAGCGGCTTTTTACCCAACTTGTGGGTGGTGACTCTTGGGCGGAGGCACATCGGGGGGCGAGCAGCAGCTGGAATCATTTCTCCCCTAAACAAGTCGACGACCTCCTGGATGTTTCCAGAGCCCTGGAACGGTTGCCCCTTCCCCCTTCGTCTACGTATAGGCTGTGCCAGCGGGGCTGTGCCAGAGGGGCTACGCCAGACCGGCGGAGCTAGGGGGTCGCGACGGGGTCGGCCCCCAACCCTCCAACGGCCGGCTGGCTGAGCTGGGAGTAGATCCCTGATGCCTCGCTCCCAGTCCTCTGTCTTGACTGCTCTCGGCCCCAGAGGGGATGGGGGTGCCCAGCTAGGGACCGGCAGAGCTGGGCCCCAGGGCTTGACCACTGCCCCCGGCTTTGCCAGACATAACATTTCAAAAGTCC